TTCTGCGAAGGTCCTAACCATTCCACAGATCTCAGGCTCATTACTCTACACCCAGGACTGCTGCTGCTTCTGGGAAGGGGCCTAGCAATAGATGCATTTACCAAACAGCCAGGAAAATCTTGTGATTGGAGAGTCTGGGAGGCCATCACCGCATGATTCCGTTTATGTCATCTACCCCTCTCTGGATCTGTTCTTGTGCTCTTCAATATAATTTAAAGTTCAATATATGTAAAACTCAGTGTAGGGCTAGGCCTATAGCTCAGCAGCATAAGCCCCTGCCTGGCAAAAGTAAGGTCCTGAGTTCAATTCTTGGTACCAAAAAAAAAAAAAAAAAGTGTCCGCCTCTTGTTAAAACAAAACAAGAGCACTGGAATGAGCTGACTTATCTGTGAATAACTTGCATAAATAATTGAAACCACCATGAGGCTCTTATAGGATTTAGGGTCATAATCACCCCATTAAGCTGTCAGTCCTCCCCATTGCCAGGGGCCTGCTTAAATAAAGGCCAGACCGGCAGTGTTCCCAGTGGAGGAGTTTGGTGCTCTTGCCATGTGTCTGAACTAATCGGTGTTGCCAGAGCAGCTCCCACCTGAGCGTCCCAGTTTCTGAAGCGAGACGTTTCTTCTGGGTTCTCAGTTCAGAACACTGGCCCCTGCCTTGACTACCTTTTCCTCCCACTCCCAGGTGTTCCCAGGTTCCCGGTCTTGCCTTGGGATTGTCTCTTGGCCACCATCCCTGCACTGCCAGGACATCGCTCACTACTGTCTAATGTACCAAGGGAGGGTCTCAAAATTCTTCTTCTGACCTCTTTGTCTGCCTTCATGCTTGCTTAAAAACAAACCACCAGGGACATAGCTCAGTGGCATAAGCACCTCCCTGGTAAGTGCAAGGTTGTAAATTCAATCCCCAGGACCAAAAAACAAACAAACAAACAAACAAACAAGCAAAAAACTCCCACAAGACTACCTGGTCTGTTTTCATGTCCTGCTTGGCCTCCACTCAGACTGGCCTCTGAAAGTGCCCTTTTCCCTGGGATTCTGGCTCCTGCCAGGAGACTCTTTCTCTCCAGCCTAGCCCTTCAGGTAGGGCCTCTTGATCTGAACCGCATTGACAGCAGGCCCGGCACCCCAGGCCTCAGAATGTGTGAGTCCAATCCTGGGCCCACCACACCAGTGTCACCTATTAGGAATTTTGTTGGAATTTCTCGTTAGGCAGTTTGTTAGGAATGCTCATTCTGAGGCCTCGCTCTAGAGCTACCAGATCATACTCTGGTGAAAGTTTCATTTTAACCAGCCTTGAGGGTGACCCTGATGTTTGTGCACAGCTGAGAACCGCTGGGTTGAGGTTGAGGCTCCGGGGCCCAGACGGTTGGGTGCCTCCTTCTTAGAAACAAAGTGCCTAAAGGTGCCTGAGAGAGAACTGAAGAGTCCTTCCCTGAGAAAAACCAGTCATCTCTGCAGCTTGGGCCCCCCTTAGAAGCTCACCACACTTGCCACTTGATATGGGAGTGGCCTGTGTCTGAGAATCTTTTACCTACAGAAGCAGTCACTTCCTCTGGTGCCACTTAATGGTTCCATGGTCCAGGGGAAGGTTTGTGTGTTAAGAACCGTGGTGTTCAAGGGTCTTAAAGGAAAAGGCTGCCCCACCTCTGCTTCATGATACTCATAGAGAGAAGGACTCAAAAGATGCTAGGCCTGCGATTTGTGCAGGCGTGGACATCGCTGAATGGTAGAGGTGTCACCTGAGCTTAACTTTCACCCTGGGAGGGCAGTGTCATTGTCCCTGAAGAATTCAGGGCCTGCCAGGAATGGCTTCAGGAAGGGTTTGAACCATGCAGAGCTTCAGCTTTTGTAGGGTGTGGGCTCTGCAGGGCCACATGACAACAGCGACACCATGTGGCAATCAGGGGTAGGGCAGCAGAGCTGCTGAAACCCCAGGCTTCTATTTGGGTGAGAACTTATGGCATTGGAGGTGTGTAAATCCCAGATTCTATTACAGTTTAGAGGGAAGGAAGAGCCTTGAGGCAAAACAGTGGCCTTTCTACTGCTACAACAAATTCCATAATGCATTAAGCCTCTGCTCATCAATGGAGTGGAACAATGACTGGGCATAAGGACAACTTTTAGAAATACTAACTTGTGACTATGTATTCAGTGGTCCCTTGGTTTGGGATGGATATTGGATTTAGAGACTTCACCACCACTGAAATCTAAGAAGCTCAAGTTCCTTATGCATTAGCATAGTACATCAGCCCAATACTTTAAATAATCTCCAGATTATTTTTTTTTTCGTACCAGGGATTGAACTCAATCTCACACTTCCCCGGCAGGTGCAGCCCCTCCAGATTACTTTTAACAATACAACCTAAATAGTTGCCATACTGTGTTCTTAGGGAATAATGCAAAAAAAAAAATGTCTGTACATGTTCACTGCAAATGCTATTTTCCCCCAAAATATTTTTGATCAATGATTGGCTAATTCCATAGATACAAAACCCAAGAGTTTTGAGGGCTGGCTATATTCTTCTAATGTTTCCACAACAAACTGATAGCCACAGCAGGCTCTCCTGTTTTCTGTCTCTGGTGTTATTTGTTTGTTTGTTTTTGGTATCAGAAATTGAACTCGTGACCTCACACTTGCCAGGCAGGTGCTTATGCCGCTGAGCTAAATCCCTGGCCTGTCTCTGGTGTTTTTATGAGCAGAAACAGTCTGAGGTCAGTGGCTTTTCCTACCCCTTGTAAAAAGCTGTATCTTTTGGATAGTAATGGCTGGTCATGCATTGAAGCCACCAGAGAAGACAACTGCCTTGCAGGGTGAGAGAACAGAGAGATGCCCAGGACAGTGGGGATATTTGAGCATCCCACTCTGCCCTCATGACAGTGTCAGCTGGGGATGACCAGAAAGAAAAAATACCACTAGAAAGGCCAGGAGCTCCCAGTCTCTACCACGATTTCCATGTGCCACATGTGATAGGGAGGCAGCACAGTCATAGGGGCTGGACAAACAGGCATCTCAGTGGTGGCCCTGGAAGTAAGAAGAAGCCAGACCACAGCTTTAATATATCAGGCTTTAACAGAGGGGAGACCCAAAGACAGCTGCCATGGGCATTCCTGACAGCCTGGGAGAGTAAGGACTCAAAGCAAGATTGAATCATTTGAGAGAAAACAAAATCTTACTGTGTACACATAGAGCATTTGTTGATGTCTGGCACCCAGATGCAGAATGCATATGAAATGCTATTGCTATCTTTGGTTAATGCCAGGACTGGCATGACCCACAGGAGCTGGTGCCCCAACTCTCCTTCTATAAACATCTCAACTTCAGGACAGATTCATTGCAAATCCCTAAAAGGTGGGAGGTGGATTGTTCTCAGTGGCATCCGTCCGAGGTAATTAGCACAGGGCTCTGTGCTGTGGTTTATTGAGGACAATCTTGTTTTCCACTGTGAACAGGAAGTTGCTCCTTTGGGCTTGTTCCTGGAAGATATTTCTTTTGTTCTCAATTTGCATGCCAATGAGAGGCATTTCTTCTTCAAGGGAAAATAATAATGGACTAAAGCTGAGGAACAAGCAACAAAAGACCTTTAAGCTACTGTTATTCTTCAGTCCAGCTGTGAACAATTCTCCCAAGGTTCCTAAGCGGTCCCAGGACCCTATGAAGATGGAGAGGGGAAGAGCAAGACCTTGGGTCTGAGCCAACAGTGACTTCCTTTGCAAAGAACTTCAGAAAAAAAATTTCATCTGTTAGTTTTATAATCATTAGAACCACTTTAGAGGTCTGATTAAAATTATATGTGAAAATGTTTGTCCTAGTACCCTGGTAAAATGTATATGAACAAGAACACTAAAGGGATCTGGGGAGGGAAGGGGGTGCTACCATTACTAGAGGCCAGGACTCAAAGATGCTGTTCAGGGCATCATCCTGTGACTTAACAAAAAAAAAAAAAAAAAAAAAAAAAAAAACCACCTTGTCCCATCTGATCACTGGTTCCTTAATATTCATGCCGAGAGGTTTCAAGTATTTCCTCCGGAAACCACATAACCCAAGCCACCCAAAAATGGCAATTTCTGCCACCAGGGGTCGCTCTTATGTCCCCAAAGCAAAAAAAAAAAAAAAAAAAAAAAAAAGTCACTGTGAGTCTGAAGGTTTTGAAAAGCTATAATGAAGCAAGCTGTGTGACCCAAAGTTTCAGTATGACAAGGGTCTTATTATTTAATTTTTGTTGTATGGAGCTCTAGTGTGTTTTCTTATTACCTATAATTATAGGCTCCCGGAAGTTGGGCTTTATAGGTCGAAAGGGTTGTTTTAACCCGATTAAAGACCTATTCATGAGTTGAACCCACAAGTAGTTGCTAGGTGGCTCCAGTGTGCCTGGCCTGTGTCCATGCTGGGGACTGAGCACTCAAGTCCACTGGCCCTCTGCTTGTGAATACCCCCAAAACTATGGATGTACAGCAGTACGGGGGGACTTTTGGTAGGGAGCTGTGGCAGGAATCAGGGCCTGGCTGAGGATCACAATGAGCATCTGCTGATGAAGAAGCCACATCTGCGGGGCCATATTCCACTGCCATCGTGTGATCTGAGAGCCAGGTTTCCCGGCTTGAGGAATGAATTCCTGTCTGAATCCTGTTTCATGGTCCAGTGCCTACAATGGACTGCTCTCTGGAATCTTGGCCTCAGATTAAGCCCCTGGGAAGCCTTGATCTTTCCCATTTTGAGTTGACTTTGAAGCTGAACAATTTGGAGTGCTGCTTTAATGGAAATATATAATTTCTTATTTAATCTTACAGCAGGAAAAAAAGTATAAATTTTCCAACCTCTGCAAGCTTGGTTAATCGCCAAGAAGGGTAAGAACCATTGCTTCATCATCTCAATAGTGAGGATCATCTTATGTGTTTAATGGTAAATTTCCCCAAACAAACTGAGCAAAGCAACTGCTGAAACAGACAGTGAGCTGGCCATGCCTCGGGCTGTGTCCACCCTCCATAGCTGGCCCCTACCTGGACAAGTCCACACCATCAGGGCTTCTGGGAGAATCTCCCCCCTTCTTGTCCCCAGGTGATTGCGCAGATCTTGGACTCTGAGCTGATGAAGTCCGCTGAACCAGAAGAAAGAGAAATTGGAAAAGAAATTAGATCAAAATCTATGAAAACACAGAAATGTTTTCAACAGGCCACTAGTTACACTCAAGATGATATCCAGATACAAGCCATAACAATCTCCATGCCAGCTGAATGATTTGCTTAATAAGAATCTCCTCCCCTGACCTGGAGGCTTCAGCCTCTATCTGTGCTTCTGGTAAGGCAGCCAGAGCTAGAGGACAGGACTGAGACAGTGTACACCTGAAATCCCCTTACAGTCACACTTGTAAAGTGCCTGGATCCCTCACTTAGGAACTCTTGCTACCATCAGGTGCATGATTTTCACAGTGTATTGTATCTCACTAGTCATAATACAGTGAGTGATATTTTTATATCAGGCTCCTGAATTTTAAAAATTGCAACCCAATTCCTGCTTCTCTGTTGTCAGATAAACCTCAGCTACTCACACCAATATCCAGGCCTCCCTTCCAATCACCACATTATCCACATGGAACAGTCCACAGATAATTTAACAGAAAAACCTCCAGCCCTGGATTCCACGATCCAGGTTTCTTTCTAGTAGTTCTGGAAAGATATTAACACATTTAATAGCCCAGATAGATGCAAACAGCAGAATGAGTAAGGAGGCAGATCTCTGCTCTAACTAAAATGGGGGAAACTTTATTTCTTCAAGCAAAGGAGTAGAATGAGGGCTCTCACTCAAGGGCTCTGGCTCACCTCTGAAGAAGAACACAGGGCAAGCCTTTCTCCTCAAGCCCCTACCAGAAAGCTAATCTGCAAAAACAAATTCTTTCTAGCAGAAACAGATCTGAACAGAGTCAAATACAAACTGGGCACAGCAGTGCATGCCTACAATACTTGCATTCTGGAAGGCTATCACAGGAAGGTTGCAAGTTCAAGCCCAAACTGGGCAAATTAGGGAGATCCTGTTGCAAAACATAAAATAAAAAGGGCTGGGGTTGTGATCAGTGGAAAATCTCTGGGTTCAATCAGTATTGCAAAAATTAATTAACCATAAAAACAACAGAACTGTGGATATAGCTCAGTAGTACAGTACATGCTTAGAACAGGCAAAGCCCTCGGTTTAACCTCAAACATGCATACACAAACAAACAAATAAATGCAAGGAATAGAGCTATCCCCATAAATGGCACCTTCATTGCCGTTTTCAAAGAGCTTTAACATCCCTCTTATTCTTAGAAAAACCCCTGTTTACTGAATAGGCAGGTAAAACAATGCTTTTTCATTTTCCTGATAAGAAACAAAGATTAGGTGGCTTCTACTCAGGTCTTCTGCTTTGGAGTCCAGTGCTCTTTTTCACAGCAATATTACCGTGCAACACATAGATAGTATCTCTTCTGCTATAACAATAATAGCAAACGTAATGCTATAAATATTCTCTGTGTGCTAAGTACTGTTCTTTTAAGCACTTTATATATTTACATTGATGTAATCCTTATAATTCCCTTTTACAGAGAAGAACACAGGTACCAGCACAGAGAAGTCTCCAGTCCAAGGTCACACAGCTCAGAGGCGGTGGAGCTGAGATTTGGGCCCAGATGATCTGGCCCCAGAGTCAGTGCTCTTGAACACTGCTTTGTGAGACTTCACCAAACGGTGGAAGTTGTTGCTAATAATCTCTGCCATCTTGTAACTAAAACAACCAAGTATTTGTGAATAATGTGGACAAGAACCCATATCTGAGGGCCAGAATTGATTCTAGAATAGTTCATGGCACAGAAAAGGCATTCTATAAATATCTGCTGAATGTATGAGAAGTCAATTATTCCAGTTTTTCTGATAGCTACTTCTACAAATCAAGGGACACATACTGAGCCCTGGGAGCTCTTGCATTTGTTCTGTTTCCTGCTGTGTCTTCAAATCTTCCTTTCCCGTTTTCTCATCCTAGCAACAGTGTTAAGTCTTATTGCTTACTGGATTCCTGTTCTGTCAACAGAGGTCACTACAGACAGCATGCCGTTCTAGAGTTACCCTTCACACCTTCAAATAGCAGCAGGCTGGAAAAACCATCAGCAACCCTCACATGATGAATGACTGCCCAGTTGCTTCTTCAAATCTTTCTTTTGCTGCTACTACTTTGGTAAACAAACAGTCTTCCCTGACTTGAATACCCCAGAGCCTAGGGCTCTATTCTTTTACAAGCTCTAATCCTTTAAAGCAACATTTAAATAGTCACAGCAAATTTCCAGTCGTGAAAAATTCCTCTGTCAAGAGCTAAAGCACTCACCCTTTAAAATTAGTTTTCAATGACTTTACTTACCTCTTACATGGGCTCCATTTCTCTGACCCTGTCAGTCAAAATTAATGAAAGCCTGCTTCATTAGCATGGCTAACTCAAGACCAAAGTGTCTACCCACACTGCCCACTCTTTGACTGAGGACTCCCACTCTTGGGAGCAGTGTGAGGGCAGGGGAATGCTGGGAAGTAGACCAAAGGTCATTCCTATGGCACCAGGAGTCAGATTTCAGAAGCAACTGCCAGGCTGCCAAATATGGAGGATGAACACATGTGCTTTGCTGCAGCCAGAAGGCAGCCCCTCTTCCCTGTCAAGGGAAGGCATCTGTCACACGAGTTCTGCTAAGTCATCCCTGACCTGTTTTCACCCCCAGGGTGAACAGGAAAGACTGAAGTGACTCTGCGACACAGCCATAATGCTGGCCAAGGGGACCGCCCGCCCTTGTGAGGCCCACAAGGGAGGAAGAGTGAACGAATGGGGCCTCACTCTTCCCTAAACGAGTGTTTTCTGACTTGATGCAGTGTGATACACGGAAGGAAATGAACAAGCTTTGGAGTCAGAGTGAGCTGAGTTTTTTTCCTTCTTTAAAAGATGGTGGTGTATGTCTGCAATCGCAGCATTCTGGGAGACTGAGTTAAGAAGATCACAAGTTTGAGCCCAGTCTGGGCACCTTAGAGACTTAGTGAGATCCTACCCTCAAAACAAACGAAAGAAAAACAAAAACAAAGAAAGAAAAAAAAAAAAAAGAAGGTAAAAGGGTTGGGAATCTGGCTCAGTAGCTCATAGCTCAGTGCTGGGTTCGATTCCTAACACTGGGGAAGGCAGAAGATGGAGAAAATAACAAGATGGCGTCAGCAGCGGGATTCCAATGACCACGCCTCACATATAAGGCCTGACCGCCTTCTGAGCAGGCAGTGGAGGAAGAGGTGTGGTATGGGCTGGTATCTGTTAGAGAACCAGAGGGAACGTCTCCCTATGACCTAGCTGCACTGTCTTTGCAACTTTTTTGTAAGTATATAAATATTCTAAGTAAAAAGTTTAATTAAAACAAGCTATAAATTCCATTCTCGTGGAACATAAAGTCTAGATAATGAATGAGTAATATACATTCAATAAATGTCTGCCTTTCCTTGCTCAAAAGCGTTTAGGTCACAAGTGGTGGGCATTACCCTAAAAGTCCCAGGAACCTCAAAGATGCAAGAGTTGACACAATGACTGCTTTAGTCAGCAGGGGAAAGGGATATTTTTGAGACTTCAAAACCATGCCCAGTACTGAGGTCCTGCGTGCATTTAATGTGTTAGAAGCAGTGTGTTTTAAGGAGGGGTGGATAAAGGATAAAGTGAGCAAACCCAAATCCTTGTGCTGAATCAGCTTTGCCAACTCGAGATGCTTCTCTCAAGCTTGCAAAATGGGCACCACAGTCCATGTCCTTCCCATGTGAGTAGCTGGCAACGATAGGTGGCATGGAACCATGCATGTGGGAGGGAGAGCCTATTCAGGGAGCTGTGTGGTCAGGGAAGCTGGCAATGTGTTACCATGTTTCCTTGGGTCGACTTGAAAAACTACCGAAAAACTTACTTGTTTATTTTGGTCCACAAGAATTCCTGTGTCCATGGGGTCTCAGGTTACAGCAGCATGAGGCTTCACTCAAAAATAAAGGGGCAAGAGGGGGCTAGGGATTTAGTTCAGAGGAGTAAGCACCTGCTTGGCAAGTGCAAGATCATGAGTTCGATCCCAGATACCAAAAAAGAGGGGGCTGGCAGAACCTGAATACAGTGTTTTTATAACTGAAAATTTACCACCAAGATTAGCTGTGAGCCTTTGGGTTCTATATCTAAAGGGCCATAATCATGTTATCTATAAAAGGAATTCATAATCACAGGCTGTTTTGAGGGTTAAATAAAATAATATTTGTGTGTCATTTAGCATATGACTAGATCACAGTAGACATCACATATGCTAGTGATTATTACTGTTTTTATTAGAAGGACAGATTTAAAAGTCATTAACTGAGACCTCTGGTGGCTTTCTCAGCTTAGAGCCAGTTAATCAGTCTTGAAAAGAGCCAGTCTGTTTGTGCCCATTAGTGACTGTGCCCATGACAATCAGCCCTGCCTCTAGGCCAGGGGATCTTTGGCACTCAGCTGTGGAAGCAGATAAGCCCCATTAGAGAAGCTCTCCATTGTTATGTATGGAATCTGTGGTAATATTCTTTTCTCAATTCCTTTCCCATGAAATACAGTTAAATCATCCAAAGTCCACATACTGCCGGGAGAGTATTAGAAAATGCTTGTTCCAGCATGTTATGGTTTATACCTAGATGTGCCCCCTACCAAAGCCTCATGCACTTGTTGATGGGGCTTTGAGGAGGTTGCTGGATTATGGGGCAGGATAGCTGAATTGCTGGTGGGAGATAGGACCTGGTAAGGAAAGATGACTTGCTGTAGGCTTGACCTGGAAGATTATATTTTCCTTCTCCGTTCTTCTCCTAAAGCTGTTCACTTCCTATCTGCCATGTCTCGAGCAGCATTCCTTCACCATGTCCTGTGCCGCCATGCCATACTGGCTTGGAGCTATTGGACAATGGACTGAAACCTCTACAAAGTGTGAGCCAAAATAAATCTCTCCTCCTTTAAGTTGTGGGTGTCAGGTATTGTGTCTTAGGGACAAGGAAGGTGACTAAGAAACACTAGTCTACGGTTCTGGGTTCCACAGAACTGAAGAAGGCACCTTTTTGCTCCATTCAGCACAGACATTTGTAGCTGTCAGTGGCACATATGCATACTTATGGACTGTTTATCTGTGAAGCAAAATAATAACAAGAAAAGGTTGACCTCAGTCTGGCAGAAACGAGTTCCATCACCTTTCCAAAGGTGACCAGACCCCAAGGACAGGTTATATGGCACAGATTTTCCTCCCATCCTGGTCCTTTATTTCTTAGATGCCAAAGAATTTGCTCCAGAGCCCATAGTGCTGAAGCATCCCCAGGAACTAACCTCAGTCCCTGGCTGCTTCATGTATACTGAGCCAAGACCTGAAGAGATGTGATTGGGAGAGGGTAGAGAAAGCACACACACCAAGCTGGCTCTAGAGCCTTCTGAGCTTGATGACCACCTGCTCACTGTCAGATTGGAATGCAAACAACGGCCAACAGGGGAGAAGTTCAGCCAGGCCTTTGCACCTGTCTTGTTGCTTCATCACGTTGACTACTGTTTCCAAAGTCACAAATCATATTTTCTGAAACTCTAGCTACAGAATTGTAGCTAGAGTGGAATTGTTTGAAAGGAGTGATTTTAAAAGTTAGGTCATTATAATAATAGGTCTGAATGTCTTTCTCTGGCTCTCTACTCCTTCAGAGTCATACACCAGGATCATGACAGCCTCATGGCCCAGGTGAAGTCTAGAAAGTGGCTGCCTGGGCAGGTTCGGTCATTGCTCTTCCTTCTGGAATCTGTGTAATGAGAGCTCATGTGCCTTTTCTGGGCTCCCAGAACTGAATAACTACCATACTCACTTTCATGACTTGGGACCACAAGCTGGCAAGGCCCTTGTCTTACCATGGAGGCTTTCATGCCAGTCATCATGCCTGAGGCCTAGGAAGGATGTAAGGCAAAGGCTATGCTTGAGCCAGCTCCATCGCCACCTCTGTTCCAAGGAAGGACTTATACAAGTCAGCATCTGACACCCAAGGGTGGTGCAGGCTCACCTAGCACAACATTCAGCATTCCACTGGCCTCATAGCCTTGGTTACACACACAACTTTCTGTTCCTTTCCAACTAGTATGTGTGCAGGAAGGCAAGTGCCCAGGGAGGAAGGGCCAGGAGTGGATGTGCTGTATCTAAGGAGGTCCAGTGCTATCAGCCTGATGCCTGCCAGAAGGTCGGAGTGAGTCGGTCATGGCAGGGAAACAGCAGGAGCAATAAGCAGGATTCAGAGTGAAGTAAAAGCAGCTGCAGGGGTCTGATTTGAGGTCCAGAGGCCTCATCCCACTGAAAGGAAATACCCACAAATTGATAGATCAGGCTTTAGTGTAGAGTAGGAATTTTTCTCTGTCAGTGGCTTCTCTTCCCTTGGAATGCAGAATGGAAACTAAATCCATATTGCTAAATTCCAGGCTAAATAGTATTCATGCTGATGAAAGAAAAATAAAACAACCATGCCTGGTCAGCAGGATCCAAAAGTTGAACTACTGTGATCTTATTAAACTTGACCTCTTGGATAAGAGAAAACACTCAGTAATTGATTCAACAGTTTAGTTGTTACCAATAAATTTCAAAAGCAAATGCAATTCACATAATTTGTTGGCCCACTGCCAAGAGGCTCAAAGAAGATGCTGATGCCTCCACTTCCTTTAGTGACTGTGTGAAGGTCCTGCCACCAGGCACCTATTGCTCCCCTCCAAGTCCCAGGTCGCTGCATGCACCTCTGTGTCATCTTACCTATTCTCCATCCCCACATCTTTCTCTGCCCTCAGACCAGAGGGCAGAGAATCCTCCCCTTCCTCAAATATCTCAGGACCGTCACAGAACAGACCATTGACCTTCCCACCTTGCCTAACTCCTGAGTCAACCCCCAAAACCCACTATCTTGCAATTCTGCCAAGGGCTAGCTGACTTTTTCCCCACAGTCACAGAATGACAGGCTTGACAATAGCTACAGAATTTATTGCTCCTTAATGTTACTTCTGAGCCATTTTGTCTCTCCTCCTCTGAAAAGCCAGAGCAACTTTCATGCCCTGATGCCACAAAGAGCACCCCCTTTCCTCCTCCCACAGGGATGTACTGCACCCCCAGGCACACGCCTCTGGTTTCCTAGGCATCTTGCTCTTTATTATCCCAGGTCCTCTGCATCCATCCAGAATAGTGAGCCATGGAACTGTACACTCAAAGATGGTGAACAAGTAAATTTTGTTATTCATTAACACAATAAAAAAAAGATAAAAAGAAATAACCCTGTTTGAGTAGGAATATTATGGACTGTTTACTTGCTGACTGGTTTATTTTCAGTTTTTCCTTATAGAAAAGGGAAAATACATTAGGGCAGGCCATGACTGAATCATTTTACCACTAGAAGAGAGCCTGGTAAACAAGACATTTCATAAGCTCTTTTTTAATTAATTAAATTAATGTCAACTGCTACAAGAATAAAAACTGCACATGTTGAAGAGTGTATTAGTCACCTTCCTGTCACTGGGACAATACTGGACAGCAAAGCGAAGCAGGGGTTTATTTTTAGCTCATATTTCCAGAAGGTTTAACTCATGGTTGCTTGGTTGGCTCCAAGGCAGGAACGGCACAGCAGAAGATCGGGATGGTGGAAAGCCACTTACTCTATGCAACCAGAAAGTGGAGAGAGACAAGGGAGGAGCATGGGCACGTTCACACCCAAGTGACTCAGCTTTCCTACCAGGCTCTACCTTCAAATAGCTCGTTCAGCTATAAAGTCATCAACAGACAAATCAACTGATGAGTGCAGTATCCCCATGACCCATTCTGCTTCCAAAAGTCCCACGTCTGAACATGTGAGACTTTGGGGGACATTTTATCTAAACCAGAACCATGGAGTACCACGTGATGTTTTAACATACACATATATTGTGTAATACTTAGGTAAGAGTAACCATATCTATCTTCTCAAACATTTATCATTTCTTTATAATGAAAACATTTAAAATCCTTTCTTGGGGCTGGAGGTTTAGCTCAGCGGCATAAACACCTGCCTTGCAAGCAGGCAGTCATGAGTTGGATCCCCGGTACCGATAAAAAGGAAAAAGACAAAAAAAAAACTCCTTTCTTCCAGATTTTTGAGGTATACGGTATGTTACCTATAACTTGGAGCTTCTTATTTCCAGCTGTAACTACCACTTGTTGACCACCTTTATCCCTTTCTGGCCCATGCCCCCACCCTCTGGTAACCACCTTTTTATTCTTAACCTGTATGAGATCAAGTCTTTTAGTTCTCCCGTATGAATGAGATGTGTGGTGCTTTTCTTTCTGTCCCTGGTTTATTTTATTTAACATAAAGATCTCCACTTCCATCTGTACTGAATAAAAAACACTGTGTTTACTTGTTGGCTTGTTATTTGTTCATGCACTTGCCCCGGCTCCCCACTAGGTGTAAATTCTCTGAGGCAGGAACCTTGTTTGTTTTGTTGTTTTGTTCCTCTATGGATCCCTAGCATCTAAATGAACTCCTGCCACTTGGCAGGGAAAACAAACTGAACAGCTCCTGGCAGGGAGTTTGTAACTGAGCTTTTGAGTTCTGTTTCAAAGTGCTGAGCCAGACCACAGTGCTCCTCCCATGGTAGAGGCATCTTTAGGAGCCCTGGACTAAAGGCCTCCAAACTGGCTATTTGTCCCTAACCTCTCACTGATTGATAGCAGTGGACAATTGCTTTGTCCTTCTTACCGACCAGATAAAACTGAAAAATGATCGGAGGGGAACAGATGGGGGCTTATTTCCCACTCTAACTGCCAAACATTTTCTCCCAAAGCCTTACCACCTAAGGCCACATAAGGCAAGCTGCACTGATGGGTAATGGGTGAGCTGGTGGTCTAGATTCTCTCCTCTCAATTTCCCCTTGATCCTGAGCTCATCCTTGAAGCAATGCTGGAAGCTCCAGGATTCTCCAGAACAGTTTGAAAACCACCAGCATGGCCATTCTTTCTGACCCTCTGGAGACCAGAGTTCTGTGACCTGGGATGATTATTCTTCTGAGCCTCCTTCTTTGACTGTAAAATGAGGGTAATCCCCTGGGCCTGTCCACCTCATGGGATCCTGAGGAGGGCCAGATAAAGCCACAGGTATATAAAAGCTTCAACACGCTCTCTGCAAATAGCTATGTTGTTTCACAACATTAAATGTCTTTGTTGGTATATGTAGAAAACACACTAACCTGGCAGCCACTTTCAGGTGTAGAACAGCTCTTTCTTAAAGCAAAGAGCATTTATGTGGAGGACTGACACACCTGAACAGGTATGACGGGGATTTCACAGCAGGCCTGGGAGAAGCTGGGTACTTTCCTGCCTCCCCCACCCCTACTCACAGGCACATTCTGCCCTCCACATCCTCTGCAGGAAAACCCGCTGTGAAATGGAGGCACAGCTCCTTCATTCCTTCCCTCCAGCCTCAAGCACAGTAAAAATTGAACTCAGCTAAGTGCGTTATTGGATAATGACACCAATTGCTAATTCTAAATGTATTTTTTTTTTATGACAAATCAGTCATAAAAACAGTGGTGGCAAAGCCACCACCCCATTCCAATCCAGAACAAAGAAAATCACAACATCAGAGTCTGGAAGGATTAGTTCCGGCTCCCAGCATCTGCCTTCCATTCCGTTAACAGCATAAGCCTGATTCAGCATCTCACAGCGCATCAACCAAGCCAGTTCTTGGGTACACACACCAAAATGTTATTTCTAAAAAGCTAAACATGTATAGTTCATTTCTACTGTGTTTTTCAATTTACTGGGAGTACATGGGAATAAGTAACAGAGAAGAAGGAAGAGAAAACCTAAATATTCAAGCACACGTGTCACACCACATGCTTCATCTGTCTAGATGCTGGGGAGGCACCATGCAGAGCAGCACATGCCCCATACCTGCAGAGGCTCGGGGTTTGGAGGCCACAGGATGACGTTATGCAAGCTAGCATCCTCCTGCTGAAAACAAAGTGGTCTCATTGTCAGCAAAAGCACGGAAACAGGTACCCCACAGGACCGCTGGTTTCTATTCCCACCCTGAACCCATGCGACGTACTCCTGCCTTGCCTGTGACCACCCACGTGAAATCAAAGAAAGGAGAGGAAGCTGTGGCATGAAGATGTTTAAACATGGTAAGGGTTAGGTCCGGGTGGGCTAATTCTCCATCCTTTGCCTGGGTGACATGATTGGTCTGTGATGCTTAGTCCTTATTCTACACACAGAATATTCATTCAGGCTCACATCTGTCTTTCCAAGAGTTCTCTTGTAAACAGGATCAAGGGACCCCAAGTGCATCTTCACAGATGGGAAGCCTCCAGAGATGAATGGGAGCCTGAGTGGAAGAGGGGCACACGTGGAGGCAGAGAAACCAGTTTGGAAGTGTCAGCAATGATCCAGGTGTGGGACAGAGAGGGTAAGGGGGAAAAATGTGAGACAGGATAACTGAAAGGATCTGTGTTGCCTCTTTGTCTTTTGAGAAAATGCTCCAAGCTATGCTGATGCACGATGATCAAGCTGGGCCTACCTGTGCCCCCCAGGGTGATAGTCTGCAGTTTGGGCTGACTATGAGAGAGAGGATCCTTTAGGCTGGGCACAATGACTGATCACAGAAAGAAGGTCAGGTGGCACAATCAGGGAAGGTCTGATTCCATGCTGGGTGGTGGCAATGGGGCTGGACTATCTGAAAGAAACATGGGAGGGCAGAGCTGCCAGAGGTATCATTTCCTTTTCCCAGTCTGATGACATCCCTAAATACTCAAGAATTTCAGAGAAAAACAGAGCAAGTTCCAGAGAGCTGTTGTGTCATCTTTTGAGTCTCTGGACTTGGTCTGCACTGGGGATAAAGCTTGTAGTCTTCTCAGTGCTTTAAGTCAAAAACCCCTTTCTCTGCTTAGAGTCATTGGAGACAGGCCCCTGTCTCTTGCAAACCCCAAAAGCCCTAGTTATCCTAAAAATCAGGAAGTCTAGAGGGCCAGCCATTCATTAATTGATTAATAGACAAGGAGGTAGCGGTTGGGCAAAGTTAGGAGTGATCTCCAGCTTTCGGTCTTGGATGGCCAGGAGTAGGGTCAGGAGAGAAGCTGAGTTAGGTTTGAGGAACTTGGCTAGCTGCGGGTGATTCAAGTAAAGATATCCAGGAGATGTGGAAAGACAGCCTGAAACATGCTCCATAGGGTCGGCAGCCAAACATTCCAGCACTTCATTCCTATTTGCTTTTCTATGGAAAGCAAACTTTGTTCCAGTCCTGGAATCCTAAAGGCAATCCCTTAAAGTCCTGGGGGCTCATGCCTGGCTGAGTTTGGAAATGTGAAACTTGCAAAGCTGGGGAAGCATCTCCTGACCACTCCAGTAGGACAGAAACTGAGGAGGGAGGATGGGTTTGAGAGCTGGTGGGACGTGCAAAGTGAGGGAAGAGATAATGAACAAGTATGGGATGAGGGCCTTTAAATCCCTAGAGCTTTTGGACTTTCTGATTAGTAAAGCTTTGAAGCATTAAAATAGTACTTGTTTGCAAAGATGGGTGAGATGGGCCCTCATGCTCGGTAAGAGAAGTTTAGTTGATACCACCTTTCTGGCAAGCATTTTGGCAGCATAAGAGCAAAAGCCTTTCAAAAGTTCTTACCCTTTTCTTGAAGCAATTCCATTTCTATGAGTCTATGCTAGCTAAACAATAAGCATTCCATTCTGGGCAAGGTGGTTAAGTAAAGATAGTGTGGAGAAAAAGGTAAGCCATCCTAAACCATGCTATTATTTGTGTTGAAATTCATCTCAGGTCAGGGAAGCGAACCCACTAACTACCCTCAGGAGTTCTGTTAAAGCAGTCAAGGCAAATGTTCCACTAAAGCAGGGGTCCTCAGCCTGGACACTGCTGATGTTGTGTTCTGGGTAACTCTTTGCAATGTGAGACTATTCTGTGGATTCTGCAATATTTTGCAGCAGATCTGACTTCTGGGTATGAGATGCCACTAGTACTTCAAATCTGCTGTGCTAACCAAAATTATCTCTCGACATTGCCAAACACCCCCTGGAGGACAGACACCCTTGGGTCAGAATCACTGCTCTATCCTGTTTGTAGCTAACAGTGACCTGCAAGGAGTTTGGTGTCCACACAGATCCATGAGGCCTCAAGGAAAAAGTTGAAGCTGAACTTCTTGGTTTGTTAATGAGGAAGAATAAAGGCTAGGGAGAGCTCTCGATTGATCGGACGCCTTCCTGTGCTCAAGCACAAGATGAAGCTTTCTTTCCAGGGGAGACCCAAAAGGGGCATCTGAGCCAGCTCCACCTCGCAGGTACATTTTTGGTCCATGTAAGGTTTAAAAATAATAGGGCTGAGGATTTAGCTCAGCGGTATAAGTGCCTGCCTTGCAAGCAGGCAGTCATGAGTTCGATCCCTAGTACTGATAAAAAGGAAAAAGACAAAAAAAAAAAAAAAATAGTTGCCAGTATTTTCTAAATGGAAGTTTTCTCTTGCACAACTTTCTAGAAAATAGGGGAAAGCACTTTCAACTCATTGTGTGGGGTTACTATTACCTCAATACCAAAACCGGACCAAAATGAAAACCACAGAACAATATTTATTATGACTTTAGATACAAGATCCTGCAGCAAAATATTAACAAACACATTCCAGAAACATATCAAAGTAACTATTTATCATGACCAAGGGAAAACCACTCCAGATGTGCAAGGTGGGTTAAACATTTGAACCAGTACAATTGAGTCAGTCAGTATAACTGGTCACTGTAATTCAAGATACTGTCAGATCTAAGAAGAAAGATACTGTGATTATATCAATTGGTGCACAGAAAGCATTTGACAAAATTCAACACCTAAGCAAGCCAGGCGTGGTGGCTCACACCTGTAATCCCAGCACTTGGGAGGCTGAGGCAGGAGGATTGTTGTGAGTTCGAGACCAGCCTGGGCTACAAAGTGAGCCCAAGACCAGCCTGAACTGCACAGTGAGACCCCGTCTCAAAAAGACAAAAAAAAAAAAAAAAAAAAGTCATAAGCAACCTACAATAAAGAGAAACTTTAACTTGATAAGAAGTATTCCTTTAAAAAAAATAACCTTTGCAGCTAATATTTTGCTTAATAATGAAAGGCTGAATGTTTTATCTTAAGACTGGGAGTGAGGTAAGAATATCCACTCTCACACTCTTAATTAGCACAGCACTGGGAGTTCTTGTCAGTGTAATAGTGAAAAAAAGAAAAGGAATAGAAATCATACAGAATGGAAAGAAAAGAAAAAGAAAATTATACCTGTTTGCAAATAACAACATTCCATACATAGAAAACCCCAAAGGATCAACAACTAAAAAACCACTTGGAGCTAATAACTGAGTTCATAAATGCTGTACAATACAATACAGATGTAAAATTCAGTTGCACTAATTATATGCATAAAACTACAAATATGACCGCATTTATAGTCACTCCAAAGAAAAGGTAACATTTAGGTGTAACTTTAAACAAGACATATATGGGATCTGTTTAGTTAGGACCCCAAAATGGTGAGGATGAATAAACTAAGGATGACCTCCATAAATGGAGAGACATATCATCTGCTCATGGGTTGCAAAATTCAGTATAAGAAAGAAAGAAATTCTCCTCAAATTGATCTATCAATTTAATGTAGCTCCTCTCCAGTTTCAGCAGGTTTGTGGTAGATACAGATTTATTCTAACATTTCTACAGAGAAACTATGGATTTTGGAGTAGCTAAAACAATTTTGAAGAGCCAGGCATTGTGGTGCAAGCCTATTATTCCAGCACTTGGGGCTGAAGCAGGAGGATCATTGTGAGTTTGAGACCAACCTGGGCTACAAAGTGAGCTCAAAGCGAGCCAGAACTGCATAGTGAGACTCTGTCTCAAAAAGACAAAAATAAAAAATGTTCAGCTGGGCATGTTACAGACTTTGACTCTATCTCAAAAAAAATAAAGGAGTCAGAGGAAGATGTGGGATGCATCTCAGCACTGAAAGAGAGACAGAGACAGAGACAGAGACTCTGCCTGACTTTATGATGCACTATATAACAGTAGTAATGATGACATTTAATGCAGTAGAACAGAGAACCCAGATAAGTCCACACAAATATGTCTAATTTTCAAAAACAATATACCTAATTTTTCACAAAAATGTAAATGCAATTCAATGGAGAAATAATTTTTCAACAAATAGAGTAGAGAGATAAACATTAATGAATAAAATACTGAAAAGTGAACCTCAAGCTCAAAAGAATGATACCATAAACCACACACTGGAGAACAATATTTGCAAAAGATAATATCTAAAAGAGGACCACCATCCAATATCCAGAAATCTCTTAAAACTCAGCAGTAAGAATGCCAATAACCTTAACACACACCTCACCAGAGGAGATATACAGGGGGTTAGTAGTAAGAAAAGCTGCTCTTTGCCATCAAGAAATGCACATTAAAGTAACAGTGGGGCATTGCTAAAAACTTATGAGAAATTCCAAAATCCAGAACACTGGCAACACTACATGCTGGTGAATATGTGTAAGAATAAGAATTTTCGCTGACTGGTGGTGGAATGTAACATGGTAAAGCTACTTTGGCAGCAGTTTGGCAGGTTCTTACACAATTAAATACACCCTTAGCATAGGATTCAGCCATCACACTCCTTGGTGTCTCCCCAAAGGAGTTCATATCTAGGTAAACACAAAAATGTGCACGTGGATTTTTATGGCAAGCCTTATTCAAAATTTGGAAGCAACCAAGGTGTTGCTTGGTGGACTTACTGTTTTCAGTAGAAAAGTAAGGTGTGGTATGTCAAGACAAATAAAAAATATAAAAAGGGCCAGGGATGTAACTCAGTTCAAAGGCTCTGAATCAAATCGCCAGTAAAACACACACACACACACACACACACACACACACACACACACACTTGGTCTGTAAAGAACCCATTAAATGGATGAATGATAATTATGAGAGAAAATTATTTGCAAACCACAATCTGACAAAGAACTACTCTATACTATATAAAGAACTCTAAAAACTCAACATTAAAACAATAATAACAACCCAGCTAGAAATTAGGCAAAAGAGGCTGGGCATGGTGGTGTACATCAGTGAGCTCAGCACTCAGGAGGCTGAAGTGGGAGGCTTGCTGAGAGTTTGAGGCCAGTCCAGGCTACAAAGTGAGCTCAAGGTTTGCCTGAACTGCAAAGTGAAACCCTGTCTCCAAATAAATAAATAATAGAAGTATAAGATCTGAACACGTATTTCACCAGAGACTAGTTTCCTATTATCCGTAAGGGATACATTCTAATATCTCCAGTAGATGCTTAAAACCTTGCATAGTGCCAAATCCTGTTTTTACTATACTTTTTGCATACATACTTTAATAAAGATTCACTTAAAAATCAGGCACAGTAAGAGATTAATAGCAATAACTAATAATAAATTATAACAATCATATTTTATAAAAGCCCACAGCCTGCACTCAAAATTAAATACAACTTGGGGGTGTAGTTTAGTAAGAAGGCCTAGGTTAAATACCCATGTACTACATATACATATATATATATATATATATATATATATATATATATAAATGTGTATATTTAATACATTCAGGCCACAGTTAATGGTGGGTAACTGAAACTTCAGAAACAGAGATCACAGATAAGGGGAACTATTATCTACAGATGACAAGCACACAAAAGTTTTTCTGCATCACTATTCATCAATGAAATGCAAATTAAAACCCTACAGAGTGGTACCAGCAAGTAGTGACAACACCAAATGATAGCCAGGATGCCAGGGAAAATGGATCACTCCTACTGTTGGTGAGAACAGAAAACAGTACAGTGACTAGAAATAGTTTGGGAGTCCTTTATAAAATTAAATAAGCAATCAGCATTTGACTCAGCCATTGCAATCTTGGGTGTTTATTTTAGAGAAATGAAAAAATCTACTCACATACACGAAAAAACTACAAAAGCATTCACAAAATAGCCAAAAACTAGAGACAGCCCAAGTGTGCTTGAATGGGTGGATGATACGATGAGTTATATGGAACACCATGCTGTGGAATACTATTCAGCAATGAAAAGAATGAAGTATGGCTATGTACAACAACTTGTGTGAATCATGCAGAGTGAAAAAAAAGCTAATCTTAATAGGCTGCACTCTGTATAATTCTACTTTGTAATATTGTTGAAATGACAATATTATAGAAACAGACCAGACGAGTAGTTGCTCAAGGTAGGGATAAGGAACGCAAGATGAGAGGGAGGACAAGGGGCCTCTGTTTGCTGATGCAAATGCTCCATCATCTTGACTATTTGACACTGTTGGATAGTTTTGTGAGACAGGGAAACTAGATAAAGGGAACACTTGTTCTCTCTGTATTATTTTCTTAAATCGTATATAACCTATCATTGCTTTTAATTTAAAAGTTTATTTTTGAAACATCTAAGGTTTCATAGAAAAATACGGGTTTTCACTTCTTTTGAAGAAACGGGAAAATTCTATAACACGGACCATTTTCTTAATGGCAGCCATCAGCTGCCCCTTTACCGTGGTATCCCCTCTCCTATCGGCTCACACCCACAATTACTGCTGCTTGCCTGCCCCTAAAGCCCCTGCGGTTTGCCAGCTTTTCTTCTGACAATTCCTATTTTTCTGATTGAGAAAAGATTACAGGAGGGGAAAACAGAGAAAAATCAGTTGCACAAGGCTGGCTTTCAGATTCAACGTTCACATTCAAAGGAGTCAACACCATTAATCCAAAATTTCCAATCTATGTGAAATAAAAGGGAAAATATCTCCTTGATTTGGTTATGTTATTTTTCATACTATATTATTATTAGCAAATTGAAGATGGATAATAACGAAATTTGAATATATTTTATCATCTCAGACTTACGCACAAATAAGCAATTAAAGTCTACTCTTCAATTCTGAAAATCTTGCCCAACTTGAGAATAACACTTTAGGTTAATCTCTCAGCACTGATAGCATTTAAAATCACTTTTCATTTTATATCTGGGAGGAATATGGAAAAAAGTTTTTATTTCAGCCTCTTCTGCTGAATCTGTTAAAGTTGATGAGTAGAGAAAGTCTGGAGAAAATGCGCCAAGTACTCATTATGCCCATTTTAAAAGCACAGAATAAAAAAGAAGAAATAGTGTTCAAAGTTTATGAAAATAGGAAAATCCTCAAAGAATTCTGAAAAGGCAATCCCGAGACATCTGCCTACATGCCTGCTTGGATCTGGCATAAGCTCTGTCTTGCGCTTGCTTCTCTCTGGGCAGAGACATGATGCTGGGGAGGGAAGGACATAGTCTAGCTCAGTTAAGACAGCTGTGCAGTTCCAGGGAGAAGCTTCTTGACACCCACCTGGTGGTCCAAGGTGCTGCTCTCGTTGCCCATGGTGAGCCAGGATGCCCAGGGTCCCTCAGAATTTTGTCAGAGGCCCCTGGAAGAGATGGAAGGGTGTAAACATCTGTAACATGGAAGAAACTCTGAGGCTTTCTCTGTCTGCTCGTCTCCCTAAACTCAAAAGCCAGATGATGGCAAATGTTTATCTCTGCAGCCTCATCATGGAAAATTACTTTTGAAGGTTTTTCCTTCGCAAAATGCCACCCAGACTTCTTTCCCAACGAGGGCTGGTGTTCTCATTCCCCACGTTGGGTTGGCAGACATTTCAGAAAGGCAAGTTTGTTCCTGAGGCTGAGTTAGGGCCAGTGGGAGTTTAAGGAGCACTGCTCGTCGTTTCTAATTGTGTTCAGTTGGGAAGTCAGGGTGGCTGGTTTCTTACTGTTGGTGACAGTAGGACTCGGCGCCAAAGATTAGGAAGCGTGAAATTTACTTCTCTTCAATAACATATGGTTTTCATAGTTTTTACTCTAAATGCTTGCTTCAGCAAATCAGTTTCACTTCTGCACATGTTCCTATGGAAGCAGAATGGTTTTCCTGCTGAGGAAGATACCTGGTTGGGGCCAGACAAGGAATGGATAATCCTGTCAATCCCGTCAATCCTGTCAGGCTGCTGAAGCAACTGGTATTGTTTCATGGGTCTCACTCGGTGATGTTTTATTAACTATTATCATAATTAGGGCATTTTCTCACGTCACTCAAGGAGATGCATGACCGTTTCGCTGACATCATGCACCTGAGATCATGAGACCCTAAAGCAAGCAGGACTGAGATGTTACCTCCTCTGTTTCTAGATGGAGTGGTTCATTTATAAAACTTGAAACATTGAATATTTCAGAGCTGGGGACTTAGAGATTGTCACTACAGTAGGGAAAGTGAGGCTAGAGAAGTTAAGGAACCTGCCAAGGATCCAGCTTTTGGAGACCAAAATCTAGAAATAGATCTCTGTCTCTGCCTCTGTCTGTCTGTCTGTCTCTCCCTGCACCTGGGATAACGGGTATTGAACCCAGAGCCTTGCGTGTGCTAGGCAAGTGCTCTACCAGCCTGCCTCCTGCCTTTAATTCAAGATTTGTTCCACAGAAATGGAGCTTTCATCACAGTATTTCTTCAGAAAACTTGTACTTATTTATTCAACCAACATTAATGGAGTAACTAGCACATGCTAAGTGTGCTGAATAATCACTAAAAAATAAAATATAATTATTGTGAGTGGTCCCAATTAAAATGCCTCCAACCAGAGAACACTGTAAATAATGTCACCTCTGCATTCAATTCTTTTATTCATAACTCCTTAACTGAAAGAATACTATCCATTTCCTATGAACACACATGTAATCTCATACAAAACTGATCACTCTTTTTTCTGTTCATCTGGAAGATGTCAGATGATAAGGAAATAATGTTGAGTCTGCACACATTTGTAATCACAGCTACTTGTGCATAATCACAGCCAAAATAAAATAAAAAATTTTAAAAAGGCTGCAGCTATAGCTCAGTGGTAGAGCACTTCCCTGGTATGCACAAGGCTCTAAGTTCAATCACCATTATCACCTCCCAAGAAAGAATGTTGAGTGTTACCATCAGTATACCTGTGTCAGTTATTAAATTCTGATATTCATTCAACAAATAAACTCAATAATTTTGTTAAAAAGCAAGGCATCTTAGTTTTTTAAGCAAACAGCAAAACTGCTCTGGTAAAGTATAAATTTCAGATCCACAAAAAAAGGTCTGGGTGCATCTGGAACTTTCTCCCAGCGTCTCTGCAACTCTCACTGCCCAGATCAGAAAGGAAGGTGCCCGCAAGTCTGCCATCTGCTTACCTTTGAGGATAATCTGAACTTTCGAAACTGCAGCCCAGGGAAAATGTGCTCTCCATTAATTAAGACTTTCTCCTCATGCTCCAGAAACATATGAGGTCTAAGCCAATGGCCTTGAACCACCTCAACCAGTTGGACAAACAGTCTGACTCCACACTGGCATGGGCACAAACCAGCTGTGCTTCATACCTTAGCTGTGGACTGCTGAGATTATACAAGCTTTCCCAAGCCTGCCCACATGGAATCTGCTTTTCCAGCCCATCCCTCCAGAGGCCTTTGCACAGAGGATTTTCCCCTGTTATTACATCATCAGGGCTCCTTTTAGAAAAGGCTTATCCTTACTAACACAGCTCCTGCCGTTTGATTGGCTGCACCTGACTCCAGGACTGCCCTGGGCCAGGAGCACCGTGGCAAAAATCACAGGCTTGCCTTTATGTAACAGTACAGACAACAAACTCTCATTCTAGAAAACAGCGAAAGGCTCATTGAGCTTCTTGTATGCACCTGAGAAAATTTTATGGAAAGACAAAGAAAACTTGTGAAACTCCAATGACGTGACAGTCTGGTATTTGTTAGTGTGTGCAGAATGTATTCACCAGGGTGTGGCTGGCGTGCCAGTGACTGAAGTCATCAAAAGCAGCAGGCATGTCTAGATCGCTGATAGGAGATCTGCCTGCCCACTGGGTAGAGGAGGCCTTGTGGATTTGTAGGTATACACCCAAAGAACCCTCCCGCTCAGTCACTTTGCACCTCCAGGATTGTGTGTGTGTGTGTGTGTGTGTGTGTGTGTGTGTGTGTGTTACAGCACCAGAACTTTTCATTTCATCAAAATCTTCTGCAGAGGCCCATTTGCTGTCACTCAGGAAAACAAAACAGCATTTCACCAAAGGCTCTCTGGAGACCAGGTATCTTACTTAGCTTCTTGGAGGTATTTAGGAAATGCTAGATGAGGAGGAGGAGCTCAGTGACCCACTTAGGGTTGGTTCATTGGAGTAGAAGTACACATGCTTTGAGGGATAAGTGGTTAAACACAACACAGTCTAGACACAAAATGAATTACTCATCCATAAAAAGGAATGGACCGCTGGTATATGCACCGACTCCAATGAACCTCAAAAGCATTATGTAAGTGAAAAAAGCCAGATCATGCATTATGTGATTACATTTATATGAAAAACTAGAATAGGCAAATCCACAGAGACAGAAACCAGATTGGTGGTTGCCAGAGGCTGTGAGGGGAAAAGTAAGTGTTTAATCAGTGCAGAGTTTGATTTTTTGGTGATGGAAGTGTTTTAGATTTAGACAGAAATGAAGTTTATATAACGCTGTGAGTATGCTAAATTCTACTCAATTGCTCACTTGAAAGTGGTTGTTTTTATGTTAGATGAATGCCCTCTTGATTTTCACAAGTATGTTTCACATCTTGGAGTTCTGCATAAGCTAGTTTGCAAAAAGAATCTCACTACTAAGAGAAAAATTTGTAAGTATTTCTTTTTGAGTTCGTCAACATGAGATTTCAATACAGTTAAGGTCCGGAAGGATGAGAAACAAGAATGCTGGCTTCTACCCTCTAATAATCACAGGAGAATTTTTTAAATACAGAAAATCTTATTAAGCAAATCATCTTGGATGGCCCAGTTGGGAATGAAGAGGCAAGTCTTCAAAAGGTGGACAGAACATAGTAAGAGCCCTGAATAAGAGAGAGGAAGAACTGGGGGTTTGCTTCAGAGGAGAGGAAACGGCAGTGTGCCAGGCCCTCCCAGAGGAAGATGGGAACGCTGAGGTGGGAGTGACCGTGCTGCTTCCAGTTCCCGGTTGTGTACATTTCTGTGACCAAATTCCCTCCACAAGCCAACCTCCCAGGCAACTCTGCGGTGGATACAAATGCCTCCAGTGACTGGGGTTTATAGGAGAATATGGGTGGAGTAAGAGAGCCAAGCTCCAAGGCTGGGTCTGTTCTGAGTAGACTTTCTGTTTACTCAGGTTGCCAAAACAACTACTCAGTCTGCGTGGCTAGAATAACAGGCATTTATTTCCCCACAGTTCTGGCGGCTGGAGGTCCTCGATGAAGGTGTCAGCAGGTCTGGTTCCTCCTCAGACCTCAGACTCTCTCTCTCTCTCTCTCTCTCTCTCTCTCTCTCTCTCTCTCTCTTCTGTGTGTGTGTGTTTATGTGTGTGTGTGTATCTGTATCTGTGTCCTAATCTCTTCTTATAGCACATCAGTCATACTGGATTAGGGCCCACCCATTAGGACTCTCTACCTATAAATACAGTTACACTCTAAAGTCCCGGAAATTAGAATTTCAACATACGAATTTTGGGAGGATATGAGCAAAAGTGGGAGTCACATGGAAAAGGAAATTTGGAGGCAGAAGAAACTATAGAAAAAGGAAAGGCTGAGGAATTTAAGGGGCCTTTGGGAGGCCAATGACAGTCACAGTGCTTAGGATGGGGCAGTTTAAGCCAGTCTGAACCAGAGCTTCAGAACACAGAGACAAGAAAGGTGTTGAGTATGTAGGGCCTGATGTCCCTTGGGTGGCCAGAATATAAAGCATCAGAGATTTAAATGAGGAGGACAAAGAGGACCTGGTATGAAATAGATGTTGCAGTGAAGTAAAGTTTGTGGAGAGGGGTGGGTCTGATTATGCGTTCAGAGCATGAAAGACCCAGTGCTGAGGGTCCAAATGGGAGGAAGAGAGCAAAGAAGACAACAAGTAAACCAGAGCCCCTGCCTCCCACTTAGGATCATCCTGCAGGCAGCTGCTCTTAACCAACGCTTGCACTTGTGGGAACCCATACCATGACACGGGAAGGGGCTGCTCAGGGGAGCCCTCCAGTCTAAAAAGCAATAATTCCAGGTTGGTGCCTTCAGGCTGCAAAGCTGACCTCCTCTTGCCTTCCCTCTCATGTACTGGCTTCCACTCAGAGGTTGCTTCTTGTTATCAGTACTTTTATTATTACTATTGTTGCTGGGTTGTTTTCCATGTGATGATTAGCATTTCTGAGGACCCACCATGCTTGTATACTTTACCCTTGTAGCAGACACATGACATCAGACCTATTGTCATCCTCTAGCAGGTAAGGAAACATCCTCTAAAGGTTCCATAAGGTCAGGATGTGGCCAAAGGACAGACAGAGGTGGGACTAGAATTCCAACCCTGACATTCTGATCTTTGCTTCTCCTTTTTCTTCCATTACTTGAAGCGGATGTCCTTAGGTAAAT